GCTCCAGGTCTGAATGGCTTCCACATGGCACCTCGCCGTCTCACACACAAAAACGCCTGCAAACACACAAAGACGTGCACATTTTATGACGAGTACCTTTCAGCAGAACAGAAACAACCGTTATAGGAAAACATTTTTCACAAAACAGTGCAAATCTTTTAAAAATAAACAGAAATTTGCATCATAAAAAATGTTGCTCACGTAAGGATTTCAATAAATACATTTTAGTTTTTTCAATGCATCACTGTAGGATTATTACATGCACTATGATAAAAAAAAAGCATGCATGCTCAAGTAATTCACATGCATGTCCTTGTGTGCACTTGCACAGATGCATAGATACGCTCACACAACTACAGGGGGCTCAAGGAGGGGGGGATGGGAAGAGACGGGCTTTAATCAGGAAATTCACCTGGAGGGGCTTCATGTGAGCAGGACCTGACGCTGCTCCTCTCTCTGCCGCACAATGAATTGGATCACAGAGACAGTCTGGGCTTGAAAGCCTCAATCCACTGTCAATAAGCTAATTCTGGCCCGGGTCCTCCGTGTGCAAAGTCATCTATCATACGCTGCCCGAGCTCGCAGAGATGGATTTAAATGAAAAGAACAAGGTTTGAATGTTTGTTTTTGATTTTTAGTATCAAAAATATTTTTAAATATTGCAAGAAAGATTTTATTTAACCGTTTAAGAAAGACATACACAGATTTTGAATCGGTTGATTTTCTCCTAATTTTACTTTTGAAGAGAATTTGTGTTCTTGGTCCAAACCAGAAAGGTTTCGTTGTTCCTGACCCCGGCTCTTAACTGTCACAGATATGATTTATACCGTGCACGCTACAGTTTTACACACAAACGATGAGTAAATTCTTACATCTCTGTTTTTGAAGCACAAGTCAGCGTCACTGTTCCAATACATTTCTTGTTTTAGCATTAAAAGCTAAAGACAGTGATTTTTTTTTTTTAAGGTCTAGTGTTAAAAACAGAACAAAAACTGAACCGGTTCTTCTAAAATGACAACTGGACCTTCAGAGACTTGTCTCCAGCAACACGGCCAACACTTGAGGTTGAGAAGTGGGGTCCCCTGCAGCTGGAGACCACCTGTAATCGCTCTTCACACTAAACGAGGACAACTACACAAATGTTCCGGTCCAACAGCGTTGTCCTTACACCGTGTTAAAGTAGCATGCGAGCCACATCAAAAACATCGACGGCCTTGAGTGAATCTCATCCACCTGTAGAGCCTCGTTACCAAAGAGGGAGACGGGTGAGACAAAGCAGAGCCGTGAGGCAAACATGTTGATTTACAAATCAATCTACATCCCAACCTTCTCTTTTCATCATGAACTGAGTGACAGAAATGAGAGCACAAACACAAGCTGAAGCTAGCTGCAACAAGCTGAAACGAGCCGAAGCGAGCTTCCTCTGTGGAGCAGCTACTCATCTAGGAACAGGTACAACGGCAATAATACTTGATGGATGTTTTATTGAACATAAAGGCTGTGGAAATAAGTAAAACAAGTAAAATGGATAAAGTCTGGCTACACATTTGGTCATTGTGTGGACAGATACCGTGTTTTCCAGCAAATAAATCACAGTTTTTTGCATAGATTTCTCAGTCCTGCGACTTATAGCGACTTATATACTTTTTTCATATTCATAAGCAATTTTTGACTAATGCTTTAAATTTCTAAGAACTGCAACAGCGAGTCCTCCCGTGCGCGCTCACTTCACTCGGCTGGTGCAGGCGGAGGAACGCTGGAGAGCTAGCAGCTCCGGCCGTGATGGATGGATGGATGGATGGATGGCAGCGCCTGTGAGAAATGAAGCTGTTTTGACCATTAAATAAACGCATAATAAACATGACGGGTCAGCGGTGACGCTTAATAAATGCGACAAACGCCAAAACGACTTGTTTTTTTCCTCTTCATGATGCGACTTATCCACCGGATTATACAGTACATAAAAATACTAATCTAAAAAAAGGAAATGCAGAATTCACAAACAAAGTGAAACAGCTTCGTCTGTGGAGCAGCTCTCACCTTTAGGACTGGGTAAGACGGCAAGAATACTGGATCAATAGATGGATGAACAAACGCAAACATTAAAGTTTTAGTGTTGTGGTTGTAGTGACATCTAGTGGCCTAAACATCCAACTGCAACAAAATGAACATTATCCACGTCAATAAAAGTGCTGTGTGTTGTCATCATTGGGGAAATGCATGGCAGGCACCTATTACTATTCACCTCGGAAGTGTGTCTACATTTCTATCTCCGTGAATTCGTCCCAAACCACAATGTCAACCCCCACAAGTTATATCCAAACGACCGGCCCGGCTCCGGGAAGTGTGCTATTACTTTTAATGGCATTCGCAGTTACCGTGGCGACATAATGCTAACAAAATTGCCAAATTTCCCATAGGAAATGAATAGGAGAAAACTCTTCACAGAAACTGAGTAACGTATGGAGCCATTTTGGTTCAACATGCAAGGAAGGCAGTGCATTGCCTTGTGAAGCATGCATGCATCCTCCATGCAAGGCACCGAATATTAACTATTATTATAAATTATTAATAATATAATTAACAGTAATAATATTAAAATGGTCAATATTAATAATTAATATTAGTATGAATGTTATTAATGTTCATATTAATTATTAATAGTATATTAGTAATTATTAATATTATTATTAATAAAAATAAATCTGGGTTACAAAATGAATTCAATCATCACATGATGTTTGGGTGTCAAAAGGCACCTCTATGGAAACTGTAGAAAAGTTGGACCATTCCACCTGCTGATGGTCCAGTTTCCAGAACCGTCTACTGATAGAACAAGTCAGCAGCTAATGACCCAGACGAGCAGTTACTGGTCTTCAGCTGTTTAAAAATACAGAACACACTTTGGTGATCTTGAGTTAACATACCAAGAGACTCAGCAACTATTAGCAGAGTGAAAACGTTGTGCTTGTGCATGAAGCTCGAGCACCTGAGATGAATGCCCGGAGCTCCACGCTGCACCTGTGACACGCACTGAATCTGCCTCTCGTACCGTGCACAGAACAAGAGCATCGGTGGCGCCGGGTGACAACTTATCTGCCCCTGCTGAAACAGAAACAACATGCTCCGTCTCAGCTCTAATCTTTGATCAGCTAAAACACTTTCTGTGATAAACACTGACTCTGTCCCCAGGGGCAATCACTCTGCAGTGCTGGCATCATGGGAGGTAATGTATGCACAGGCGTGTTGAAATCGCCTCGGGTCCTCACACACACACACACACAGTGTACACACAGTGAGATGAATTGCTACGCCACGTAGAATAAATACATATCAGCTACAGTGAGCTGAGGCGCTTTGCACTTTCCTATTAATCCTCAGCTCTGTGATTTATTGCAGTGCGCTCGTCAACAACCATGCAGTCCCCTGGAACTGCGGCCAGCCAGGAGAAATGGTGGAGTTTAAGATGAAGGCCCAGCAGCTGCTCGACACCGAGGGCTGAACGTATCGATGCTTAAACAATATTTTGAGCCGAGAGGAACGAGGCTGCAGAATAATCTGTCTGTCATAATCCAAGCTTTAAATTGACGCCTTCCCAGATGTCGCTGATGTGGATTTGTAGGTGAAAGGCCTGGATGCTCAGCAATCAGTTGTGCACGGCAGAGTGAGCGCTAAAGGGTTCTTCTGCAAGTTATTTTTACACAGAGTGTGCACGGCTGTGCATATTCAGCTTCAGCTGTTAGCTCATCCATTTCATTATGACTGCCACTGGAAACCACAGGCTGCTGGTGAAGAGCGCCACCTAGTGGCCATGCTGGTGCAGAAACTGGTGTTTGCTTGGACTGTTAGCAAAATATACATGGAACACTATGGATTTAAATGAAACTTCCACAAAGCAGTCACTAATTTGACCTCAGCAACTAATTACTTAATTATCAATTAACTTCTTTGCAGTGAATCCAATTCAAGATGGCTGCCAAGAAACCGGACTTTAAAACGAGGATGACAATAATTCAACTGATTTTTACAAAAACTGAGCTGAAGTTTTAAGATACAGTAGATCATCTCCAACACATGCACCTTTGTTGGAGTCAACTCTGTCTGTTAGTAAAATATCTCAAACTATTGGGTGGATTTCAGTGAAACTCCCACAAAGTAACCGCCTGCACAAAAACAAGTAGATTTAAGGTCAAACAAAACTTTGGTGTGTGAGTAGCCGACAGTCATTTATAACATACTCAACATGAGAGATCACAAAATATCACATGATTGTGCAAAACGTATTAGTTTCAAGGTTTAACAACTTGGTTATATTTTCATCGTGATTGGACCAAAACATGAAAAGCTGCGGGCGACATGCATTCCTTTAAGGACTGCAAGGCCTTTAATTTCAGCTGAATTTAAATGGGGTGCTTCTTTTGATGAAGTTTCTAGAAACAGATCGTTTACAATATTTATGACAATCTCTAGAGTATACAAAATTAAATTAAGTTCTACGTGAAATAGATTAAAGTGGAACACAGTCAATCCCATAAAGTCACCAGCTTTAAATCGGTTTGTAAAAATAATTTCCCGACATTTTTATTTAATGGTTTTAATTATTTACCAATATTCTCCATGCACAGAATTTCCTGATGCATGCTCAATAATCCAGGTAGAAAAATCTAAAAAAGTTAAATATGCATGCACAGAATTATGTACATTTCAAAATATTTGGAGTAAACCCTTTTATATTTCAAGTTTTCATTACAACTCAAGACAAAACATACCTGCTGATGACCATTTAATTATTAAACATTTCTTTAAATGTCTAAAAAAACGTGTTTATAAATCCAAACTAATTGTGTGCATGTATATATATATACACATACACACATACACAGTAGATATCTTCATGAAATATTTTTGAGTATCTGTACTTCTGTTTTACAATTCCTTTTGAAAAGCACATTTGTGTGTCTTTAGGCAGAGATAGCACAAAATAAAAAGTATAAGAAAGGTTTAGAAATGTTGAGTCCGTTTATTCCTGATGCAGTTTATTGTGAATTTTAGCTACAAGACATTTAGAAAACTCACCATCAGGATCAGAACATGTATTTTGTACGGAGGGGACACAGAACATTTTAAAAAAGGTACAAATACTCAAACAAAGCCACGCCACGCGTAGCGTTGAGGCGGCGGCAGCGTCCCTGGACTCACTGCAGCGGCACAGCGCCTTCACAGAACACGAGCAGCAGAAGAAAACTACGGACGTAGCACATACTTAACAACGAGCTAACATGAAGAGTCTGAGACGTGATGAAGTTCTGCAGAAAACTTTCCCCTCAAACCTGCCCTGCATGAATCATCATTAGCTCCTGTTTTCACACCAGCCCCCCCTTAATGAGTCTAATAGATTGGTATGTGATACTCCAACACTTCTAAACTCACCACTTCACGTCGCTGATCTTTAAACTATTGAAAACTGTGATTAAGTTGCAATGCTCCACTGATGAACTGTTTGTTTTCATTAATTTTCCACAGATTGTCCGTTACAGTTGTGGTGTTCTACAGCTAGATGGCGCTGTGAGGCTGCTTTAAACAAAAAAAAAAAAAAAAAACTCCTCCTTCCCCCCACAAGACACCCATCTGGTCATCTCTCGTCTGTCCCTCCTCCTCTCCCCACCTCCTCTACGGAGCAGCAGCAACCCGAGTTTCTCCTCCAGCAGTGAGGAGTTGCATCAGGCTTCCTGAAGCTGGACGGTTCTCCCCCGTGGCCCAGCCCAAGAACATTCTGCAGGAGAAACAAAGACGAGAACACATTTACCAACAACAGCCAGAGCAGCACAACGTCACGGTTTTATGATGTTTTTAAAGAAAACCACGTGCACATCCTCGTGACTCAGTGACACTAACCTGCAGAAACAAAGGATGAACGAACGAATGAATATTCAGTTACACAACTTCACCACGCGCCACTGAGGCGGCTGAATAATAACGCTACAGAAACATGGAGAATAAAATCAAACGTCCCGTCAGTGGTTAAACGTTGTAACAGAACCGTCTTGCAGGATTTATTTATTTTTATCACAACTTGGGAGTCGTTTTAACGAGCAGGTGTGTACATGTACATGCTGCCCTCACTGCCAGAGTCAAAAGGGTGATCATGTTTTTGCTCGTTTCTGCGTGTTTGATGTCTGAACAAATTATTTCATGAACAACTGGATTAATTTTAATTAAACTTACAGGAAATAATCTGCAAGTAATCAACTTTCAAGAGTTTATTAAATTAAAGATGGCCGCCACAGTCAACTAATTACTGACAACAAAAATGTTGTTATAGCTCAATAGAACAAATATTTACTAATACTTTGGTGTGGTCAACGTTCAGTCATCCTGGACTCTGCATGAGATCATGTTCATTTTGGACAGGGCCGTTCAACTGGTGGCCCGGGGGCCAAATCAGGCCCACGGGTGAGCTCAGTTCGGCCACCAATGGGTTCATTGTGAAATAAAACTAAATTTTAAAACGTAAAACAAACTTCATGAGAATAACTCCTGGATGTCCGGCCCCCGAGCTCCTGGTTTTCAGTAACTGTGGCCCCCTGAGCAGTTAAGAAGAATAGTCCTGATTTAGGAGTTTAAAGTGAAACAGCTAGAACTTCACCTGCTCTCATCGTAAAGTGATGGTGCTCTAAAGATGCATGAAAGGCAGCGGGTGATAAGCATTCCTGCAGAGTGCTGAGCCTTTAATTTGAAGTGCACGGAGCTGAAGTCAGAACAGAAAACTACTCGCAGAGAAACTCATCTTAACAATTTTATTTTATTTTTTCTTTTGTGGTGGCTTTTAAACAAAGTCTAATTAGTTTGGTGAAAAAACGTGTTTTTAATTTTGTGCTAAAAATGGAACAAACGGTGATCAGGAAGTGACGCAGAGGAGGAGCCAAAGGGACGATCCAACCGCCACCATTTCACAACTGTCTTTATGTGTTTGTCTAATTTAAAAGCACTATCAAAAATAACTCCCAGATTCCTGACAGTGGAGTGGCTGCATGAAGAAGCCAAGAGTGTCAAGGGTGTTACATTTACCAAAGCTGATGACTTCTGTTTTATTTTCATTTAAATTCAGAAAATTTAGTTTTAACCAGACTTTAATGTCATGTAGACAGTTCAAGAGTGGATCCAGTGGAGTGACCCTGTCTGACTCAATCAGAAGATATAACTGAGTATCATCAGCAAAGCAATGAAAAGGGATGTGTTTTCTAAAAATGGACCCCAAAGGCAACATGTAGAGATTAAAAAGAAGTGGACCTAAAATAGACCCTTGAGGGACCCCACAGATCAGAGGAGCTGGAGATGAATAACATTCTCCTAAATGAACAGAAAAACTCGTGTCAGCCAGGTAGGATCAAAACCAGGATCAAACTGTGCCTTTGACACCGACCACCTGCTCAAGTCGTGACAAGATGTTGTGGTCCACAGAATCAACGGCAGCAGAAAGTCTAAAAGCACTAAAACAGCAGAACTTCCTGCATCAACGGTTAAAAGAAGGTCATTAAAAACTCTTAAAAGGGCCGTCTCTGAGCTGTGGTCTGATTTTAAACCTGACTGGAATTTTTCACCAATGCTGTTGGCAGTTAAGAACCTCTTAAGTTGGTTAAAAACTACTTTCTCTAAAATTTTTTGATTATCAGAGATGATCTAATCCCATCTAATCTCCTTCGGCCTGCACGGATACAAACACCCCTAAAATTGCACATTTATCCAAACCTGCATCTAAAATGTGGTGTAAGAACTTGTTTACTACTTTAATGGACTGCAGTCAAAAGTAAAACAAACTGGGTCTTTGGAAGAATCTGCCATTGATTGACGTGTTTGTTATTTATCTACAGTGGAGCGAGCGACATGATTGACTGACGTGTCAAATCACAGCCTTACTGAACTGAGATCACACGTCAGTAACTTTTAGAATTTTTTTTAAAAATCGTTAAGTAGTAAAGAATTTCACAAGAGACTAATTATGTTATATTTTCTTTGTGTGCGGAACCATTTTTTGCGTTTAATGAGATATTTTCTGACATTTTAGGTAACTTGGATTAATTGATGGATCTAAATGGATTTAAAGCATCAAAGATAAAACAATAACGCTAATAACGGAGATGATGTGGGTCTGAAACAGCCTCCAGGACCGACACGAACAATCTGAAAGAAACTGAAATTCTCTGCTGACGGCAGCCTCGATGAGACAGAACGAGGGTCGGACAGATAAGGTTGTGTCTGAGTGTCAGCGGGGGGCCGCTGGGATCAAAGACAGGAAGCTGTGCAGAACCAGAACAAAATCATGGGATGAAAGACGCGTGTTATTATTCTCTCAGGGCCATAAAACTCAAATAAAATATTTATTTGTAGGTCAAAAGAGGAGTCTCATCATTCTGCTGTCCATTTCTTTGATGAGGTCTTTATGCATTTTGTTTTTAATTAAAAGGTTTAAATAATACACACTCATTAAAAGCCACCATATTGTCCCATAAACCCAGCCCTCATTAAAAGATTTACAACAAACAAGCTCACTAGACGCTAGTGCGGGAAACACGTTCAATGTGACAGGACAGAAACAAAATAAATGTTCATTAAAAAAATAAAAATAAAAGACATTTCTCCTCCACACTCACTCTGCAATGTATTCCAGCGGCGTCCAGGAGCTGAAGTCTGCGTCAGGCATGAACTTCCTGTTCATCGGCGTATCCAAGGTAACGCTGCCAAATGAAGCCAGATAAGAGTCAGGCTGAGCGGCTGCATCTGAGCAGCAGAGGAAACGGCCCCGTGTGAGCTACACAGCCACAAGTAAAAGGTCATCCTTACAGAAACTCAATGAGAACTCAGATATTAACATTTTATTTTTAATGTCAGAAAACAACGAGTGAGAACAGGACGCATGGCTCGTGCTTTAAAAAGACCAGATGTTAAAGAACACCGTGAGGACGGTCGCCTTAATTATCACCTGCCATCATGATTTGTCCTGCGTCTGTGTGTTTGTAGAGTTAGAGTTAGCAAAATATCTCCTGAATCAAAGGATATTTTAACTGATAATCATTTAATGTTCATCTACAAACAATTCAAGATGGCCCCCACTGAACAATTTTAGCAATATCAACCAGGGGCGATTCTAGAATCTAACCTTTAGGGGGCTCAGCCCCTCAGCGTTGACAGCGGCTCTTGGCTTGAACAACGCAGTGGGGGAGGGAGACACACTGGTGGGGGTGGGGGGTGGGGGTCACAGAAAATTAAGCCAGTGTTTCCCCTACTTTACCTGCATTGGCAGGGCGCTCATTCCTTCTGCGATTTATGTCGACGGGGGCGGATGGCTCAGTGTCGGGGACTCGGAGCGCTACCTCTAGCATTTTAGGATGCGCTGCTAGCTTAGTGCTACATCGGTGCCGGCAGTTTGTGTGTGTTTGTGTGTGTGTGGGGGGGGGGGGGGGGGGGGGGCAGGCAGGCACCCTGCTTGTAAGATAGGGGAAACACTGAAAGTAGATGCCATTTCCTGCATTCTGGTGTATAAACATCTATATTTAGAAAACACTTGATTCAATAACTATGTTAGAGAGCTCGACACAACAAGAAGCTAATATTAAACTTGTATTACTACCTGTGAAATACTTATTCATACTAATTCATCCTACTTGCACCATTATATTCTAACATGTTGTTGTTTAACACATTTCTTTTGGACCACCATGTAAATATTACATTCCTTTTTCACTTTTTGGCACTTTTTCACTTTTTGGTACTTTGATCACATACTTCTTGTTTGTTTGTTTGTTTTAGCGAGTTGAAGCAGTTCTTCTCATCCTGAACATATTATTTCATTGTTGTTGTTGTGTTAATCTGTATATGACAAATAAACAAACAAGAAGTAGCCTGACCAACAGCTCTCCTTGTGTGAATAGAGCACACTCCGCTTCTCTCAGGCATCCTAACACGATCACCCCCAGCTCCTGCAGGTAAGAGACGTTTCACTTCAGGACAAATTGAAATCACTGATTGCTGACGAGCCTGCTGGACTGATTGACAGGTGGCGTCAAGGATCAGACTTATGCAAAAAAAATAAAATAAAATCAGATTTTGTGTCATCATTTATCCCTAATTTATTCAATATTTTGGTGAATCTAACATTTACAAAATCATAATGTTTTTTTGTTTTTTTCCCAGGCGTGCTGAGATAAAATTTAGGAGTGCCTGAGCACCCCCCAAAAAGAGGCTAAAACCACCACTGATATTAATTAAAATTTAGTATACCAGCAATGCAGAGACTAATTTCGCCATTGTATGGAAACATACAGTGCTGACATTGTGATGACATTATTATTATTATTATTATTATAACTAGCCTAAAGATATTTTCAATATTTAACCAAAGCAGTGATAACTCCGTCGCCTCACATTTCAAAATGATTTGAGTTTAAAACTCTGGCGTGAAACGGTGGCAGGCGGCCGTTTAGTTTTAGAAATTCGGGCTTCCACAGATTTATTCCAGTCTTCTGCAGCTCCATCTTTAAGGGCGTCGTGCTGCAGCGACAGAGGAGAGGCTGGAGGAGAAACAAGTCAGGGCTAACTCTAAACAGATGTTGGAGAGGTAGAGACTGCGTGGCCTCGTGTTGGGTGGAAAACTACAACCAAAGAGCGAGCAGGAAGCACATCCACCCCCTGAAAACACGCTTCTCACCATGACTGTGCAGAAAGTGGTTTCAATTCAATAAGTGAGCCCCAGAGGCGACCGTGTGCGTCACTCATTTAAAGCTGATTATCTGCACCATCGAAGATCTGTGGGGGGAATCTGGCGTCCTTATTCCTGCATCTCATCTTCACCGAGCGCTTAAATGTTCGACGAAACAAGAGACGAGAGGCGCAACAGCATCGATCTTCACTTTTCACGGCAGCTGCGAGCGTCGCTGGCAGATTTAAAGCAACGCTGCGCCAAAAAAAAAAAATGTGTGGATTTAAATTGATGCTGCCATTTTCAACCTGAGAAAACAAAAGATGATTGGGATAAAAAACTGAATCCATCCACATTACATTAAAACTGACACAGTACATGTTCTTGTCAAACACAAAGAAGTGATCTTATTTATGTTTAAACAAGTTGTCATACGGTGTGCATTTAAATAGCTCTACAATTAAAAATATATATATTTTAAATAAACCGGACCCAGTCAGGGTGGGACTTGGACTCTGCCGGGCTGCTCGTTGTCACCGATTCTGTTCATAACTTTTATGGACAGAATTTCTCGGTGCAGCCAGGGGGGCGGAGGGAGTCTGGTTCGGTGGCCTGAGGAATCATCTCTGCTCTTTGCAGATGATGTGGTCCTGTTGGAATCATCGTGATCTTCAGCTCTAACTGGAGCCGTTCACAGCCGAGTGTGAAGCGGATGAGATGAGAATCAGTACCTTTAAATCTGAGGTCATGGTCCTCAGTCTGAAAAGAGTGGATTGATCTCGTCAGGTCGAGGGTGAGGTTCTGCCTCAAGTGGAGGAGTTCAAGTATCTCGGGGTTTTGTTCATGAGTGAGAGAAGAATGGAGCGAGAGACTGACAGATGGATTGGTGCAGCAACTTTAGTATTGTGGACTCTGTGCTGGTCCGATGTGGTGAAGAGGGAGATGAGCTGTAAGGCAATGCTCTCTGTTTACTGGTCGGTCTACGTTCCTCCCCTCACCTCTGGTCATGAACTCTGGTAGAAACTGAAAGAATGAGATCGTGGATCCAGGAGGTTGAAATGAGTTTCCTCTGCAGGGTAGCTGGACTCTCCCTTAGAGACAGGGTGAGAAGTTCAGTTATCAGGAGAGACTCGGAGTAGAACCACTGCTCCTCCACATCCAGAGGAGCCACACATCTGGTAAGGATGCTCCCTGTGCGCCTCCCTAGGGAGGTGCTTCAGACATGTCCAAGTGGGAGGAGACCCCGTGGAAGACCCTGGCCAACCCTTGAGATCCTCCCAGAAGAGCTGGAAGAGGTGGCGTGGAAAGAGATGCCTTAACCTCCACGTTCAAGATGCTGCCCTGAGACCCGACTTCAGAACAAGAGGAAGATGGTGGATGGATATTTTTCAATGGTTTTTAAAACAATTATGATTTGAAGGAAAGTAAAACGGTTTAAAGTGCACCGCAGCTCGAATATGAAGCATATTTTGGGTTTGCATCGTCTTACTCGACTACTTACGGTAGGACTGCGACAGCTGCAGCTCCCTGAGGCATCCCGCTGTTTTTCGCAGCCAGACTCTGACACAGCTGGTGGACGGCAGCTTTGGCCATGCCGTATCCCATCATGCCTGCAGATCACAGATGGAACTTTGTTTTAGTGTCGCTGAAGAAAAATCATTCTGAACATCAGTAAAGGCAACATGTGCGGGGATTAAAGTTGGCCTGTTGCGTTGCTGCACTGTTGCATTGTTGCAGAAACGTATGCAGAAGCTTTTTTATGAAACATCAAAGGGACAGCATGGAGGCTGCAGAACGGCTGAGACACGGTTTCTTTCATTTTGAAATGCACAAATAATAAAGTTGATATAGCAACACATAAAGAACTTCCTTTAAGTGCAAAATAAGATTTGAATTAAATAAAACAGTGGAAATATTGTAACTGTTAAATATGTAACAGTGATCTTGGTGCTTGTAGTTTTAAAAGAGTCGGACAGCAGGAAGTCAGAACCTGTAAATTAATCTGCTCTAACCAGGAGAAAACATCTGTTACTCTTAGCAGATGAAAATAAAAATCCAAAGAGGAATGTTGAGCATCTGCTGCCTCCCCTAAACCATCTTATTACAGGCACCGACCAATGGGAGCAAGGGGCGGTGGGGCCACTTCACTTCTGAGCTTTTGTTTTCCACTAAAAGAGAAAAAGCAGGAACAAGCAAACGAGGGGGATAAACAAGTCGGGGCGTTCCAAAGCATGAGGTGCTTTCATGCTCCGATCTGCTCCGGCACCAGCAGGTCATCCCAAAGGTTCAAACATGTGACCCGGGCCTCGTGTTCAGAGCCCATCTGCAGCCACCAGTTCGATTCAACCAGCCTTTAAAAACCAGCTCCAACCGACTGAAAACCAGTTTAGGAGCAAGGTGAGGAGGTGACAAGTCAAATTTATTCATAAAGCACATTTAAAAACAGCAGCTGATTCCAAAGTGCTTCACAAAACATAAATAAAATAAATAAATGGGAGTAATTAAAGAAAAAAAATAAAAAGTGATTAAAAGTATCAAAAGAAAAATATAAAACAATGAAACACTAAAAATCAAATCACATCGTTTCAAAACGCCACGAAGTTCAAGCTCAATAATCCAGATTAAAGTCCAACACAGGCAGGTCATCTGGACAGTTTCTTTTTTTTTTTTTTGTTGGGACGTTTCGTCCTTCATCCTAAGGACTTCTTCAATCTGAGGAGACACCAAACAAACCGAGTCCCACAAACAGCACACTCCCGTGCGAGCACGGTTGAAGAAGCAATCTCCTCAGATTGTCCATGCCACGACGTCATCAAGACATTTTAACAGAGGGTCAATTGTGCATGAACTGTTGGGTTTTAAGTGCAGAGAAATCTGACCATCGTGAGCATAACAATAAAAAGACCATGTTTCCTCAGGATAGACCCCAAAAGGAGCAGAAACAGTGACATAGTGAGACACAGCAAATAACTATAACTTTAAATAAATGATGGTTTAAACTAGGGATGCACGATATGATCGGCATGGTTTCAGTATCGGCCGATATTAGAGTTAAAGTTAAATATCGGACATTCCATCAAAATAACTCATCGGTATAAAAGACAAACCCAGTGACAAGGACGTCTGCAGCGCCAGCACAACGTGATGACGTCACGCGCGCCCACCTGATCCGACCACGGCGGAGAGGGAAATTCAAAATGTCGGCGGTGTGGAAGTTTTTTTTTCGTTGAGTATATTGGATTCTGAAGATTTTTGGACTACGTTGAGCCTCGCTACATCGTCCCCAGTCAGAGATATTTGTCCGACGTGGCCTGACCGGAGTTACAAGCCGTCAGTTCCGACGTCATTGAGAAGCCAACAGCCGATAGCACTGGGTGAGTTTTACCACAGACATTTGGACGTCGTGTTAGCCTCGTTAGCATGATTAGTGTTACGGTACAATGGATAGACAAAAACTTTGAACTTAAAAAGTCTGTCCTTCATGCACAGGAGTGCAGAGGATCCCACACTGCAGCTATAGGAACCTGGAACAAGCCTCCACAAGTGAGACAGCATCGCAGGTGACTAATGCTAATAAATAACATTTAACACTTTTCATTTAATATAAGTTAAAGTGCTTTGCATATCTTATAGCTGTTACTGAATATATGTCACCAGCTCTTACAGCCGTTACACAATTATTGTAGAAAATAAGATGCTATGTTCTGATAAAGGAACTGATATTAAAAATATCGGTGCATCCCTAGTTTAAACCAGTGGTGTCCAACCCTAGAACCACCGTCCTGCATGTTTCAGATGCTTCAGCACACGAGATTTAAACAAACAGGATAAAAAAAAACAGTTTCTGCAGAACTTGAGGGCACGCTGATGAAGTCATTTAACAATGAATCAGGGATATTAGAGCTAGACACCCCTGTTTTAAACTGATTTACAGTTGTTTTATCAAAATACTTTAAAAATAATTTTAAGACAGACATTTTCACTGAGAGACGAGAAAAACACAAAACAAAATAAAGACAGAAGAAAAGCTGTTCGGAGCCTTTCATGTAATTCACGTCTCCTCTTTTCTGTTCGAAATCAAACTCTGGAGAAACTTCAGCAGCCGCCTGGAAAACAGCTGCATATCTTTGAGGCTAATCACATCTTATAAAAATCTCACAGCAAAGAAGAGCTCTTCTGCCCCGGCAGTCTTTGTGGGGATGACCTCCATTTTAATTCTCAAAGAGGTCAGTCATAAGATTTATCAACTTCATGCTGAGAAATTGCCTTTTAAATTAGTTTTTGACCTTGTTTTCTGACGGCGTCAAATGATTTTAGCATCAATTCAAGTCTCAAACTACGGTTTCCTACTTGGATAAGTGGAGCGATCTCGTTGTTTTGCTCAGTTTTCTTACAGAGCGGTGAGGCGTCCCTGGATTTAACAGCCTGCTCATTCATAAAACTCTGATTAACCTTGACAAAGTGAAAGTCAATACAATTAATTAACTCTTTAATCTGCTTTTTTTAACACCGACTGTCCTGGATTTGGCTGAACTCGATGCGTTTGATCCAAACACTGAACAAAAACCATCCGATGTAGTTTCTTACATTTGATTAATTAAACCCTGAAATTTCACTGTTCTACATAAAAATGAAAGCTGTGGATGAGACAGTCAAACAAAAGACCGCAATTACAAAAACAAAAAAAGTCTTGGCCCGTTTCAGGGCTCTGGGTCCAAGTGGGCCAGATCTGCTGAGTCACTGCAGCCAATAAGTCAGGCTCGGTGCTGATCCAGAGACTCGTGCACTTTAAATCTCAGTTCATCACATGGCTGTTCTCAGACCACATGGCCCAAAACCAAAGCGTCTGATCACAGCTGGGCTGGCGTTCAGCGATCAGGGCTGATAACAAATAATCATGATTGATGAGCTGAGATCATTCAAACCGAGATGTTGGAAATCTCAATTTATAATTCTACAAAATGACTCTTCAGTAAATCATCCAGCACTTAGTTGGACTCTACATTTAATTTAATAACGTTAATAAACCCGTTTATTGTTAATCATTTTATTTATGGAGCACATTTAAAACCAAAGTGCGGTACACTAAAATTAAAACCTGACTGGATTAGCTAAACACAATAAACGGAGACAGATGAAAAGTGTCCAAGCAAAACAAGGAGAACATTAAATTTAATTAAATTAAATAACTAAAATAAACTGAGATTCCTTGAAGGCATGCACCGCACCCACCACCTTTAGTGCCAGAATTGTTCAACTTAATCCATTTTATGATGAGGGGACAGAGTCGTAGTTGCTTTGATCAAAGCTCGTTAATGAGATCTGTAGACACTCGGAGGACGAGTGGAGAACGACCGTCAGCTACAACCGCAACAAACTGGAGCTCAGCATCCGCCAACGTTTCCAAGCTACAGCCAGTTTTATGAAATACTAAACTCATAAATAACAAAACGACTCAATCGTTCGTTTACAGTTCAGCAGAGACAGAACTTGGTGTAAAGCTCAAAGAGAGCACATATTCATTAAACATGAGAGAATCTTGTTGTCAGAGCCTCTGGTCCCTCAGCAGCTCTGCAGCCACTGAGATGCTTCTCATTCGTCCTCGTTCTGCTTCCATTTTGTCGATATGTTTCCGCTCCAAGTGATCAGTGAAACATCTGGCTGCCTCTGGCACGTCGCACAAACGGATCAGGCTGACCCGATGAAAGCTGTAAACAGAACAAAAAGCGTCCCTCACCTCCGGTGCCCGTCAGGGCCGCCTTGGCTCCAGCCAACGTCAGCAGACCTCCGGCTTTCAGGTGGAGAGCAGCAAGGTGGCTGGAGATGGTGGACGTCCACACGCTTTGTTTCCACATCAGATCCGTGTTCTTGTAGAAGTCTGAAGGAACATATGAATATTATCTGTTTTTATGTTGAATGATTCAGTACACAGGTGAGCCTGTTTAAAACAATAATGAATTAATTACCGTAATTTCCTGAGTATAAGTCACTACTTTGTTCACAGCTTTGAACACCACAGCTCATACAACGCCGCATTCACTATTTCCACGTAAATATATTCTCCGAGAGTCTGACTGCCCCATATTTGTTCACCTGAACGGACTATGACCAGCTGAATGTAGGTCAGTCACAGGAATGAAGCTTCCAGCTGTTTTTAGCTGATTCAGCCGAGTGTCTTATTTACAATCAAAGTGAACTCACATTGTTGCAATCTACTCCAGCTGTTTTCCAGATGTATTGATTTAAACTCTTTCAAACTGCACCATTCGACTTTTTGTGTTTGATTTTATACTTTGCAATGAGGTCTTGGCTGAAGAAAGTTTGGCGGATGATTAATGTTTAAACAAATAAAAGGTTTGAACTCTGACCTTTGGAACTACAGTTTCCTCCTGCCCATCCGCCTGCCACGCACAAGATGGCGTCCACCTTCTGCTCCCCCAGCAGCTGGGCCACATCTGCCGTCACCTGCGGCCAAAAGAGAGACAATACCCACTGAGGCTTTTCATAAAGCTGCGTGGCTCACACACCAGCTGAAGCCATCACTTCAGGACAACAATCAAAGAGGAGATGTGGAAAAAGCCATCACAGCAGGCGGTGCTTTAAACACAGTGGCTTGAAATGAGCGTTTCATCGTCAAACTTGAAGCTGTGATAACAGAGCTGGCAGCAAATTCTTCTAATGCTCAACAAACAGACGATCTGCGGTGGGTTAGAAACAACTGCCACTATCTTTTGAATAAAATAGCCTTTTAGTATTGATCATTTTTATCCATATAACATTCTGTATTTCTTAAAAGAATGCATAGTGCGTGTTCCGTGCCCGAGTATTAACCTAAGATCATTTTATGTTGAGACATAATGCAAGAAGAGCTAATTTAGCCAAACCTAGAAAAATTAAAAATAAACACTCTGAAATGTGAACGTGCAGAAATGTGCGTGTTGGGAATGATTGTCAGCTAATACCACATCGTTTAGCTCAGTGTCTGTTCCACTCACTGAGCTCTAAGCATTTTTGTGCAGGGTTAGGACAATTGGCTGTGGCAGCCATCTTGAATTGGGCTGACTAATACAGTGGCAATTTTAGCCTCTTTTTGAGGGTGCTCAAATACCCCTAAACTTTAAATCAGCATCCCTGAAAAATAAAGAAACCATTGTTAATATTTTGTAAGGAAACTCAGTTCTCAAATTTTAGATTCACCAAAATATTTAATAAATCTGGAACAAATGATGACACTCTTAACGAGCCAGTAAAATCTACGATTTTTATTTTTTTTACACAAGTCGAATCTTTGATGCCACCTGTCAATCAATCCATCAGGCATGTCAGCAACTGACCAATCAGCGATCACAATTTGTCTCGAACTGAAACGCCCTTTTCCTGCAGGAGCTGAATCTGAACTGAATCTGGAAAAACGTAAAAGATGATAAAAGCCCTGTGGCCGACCTCACGATCAGCTGAACAAAACAGTTATAAACAGGAAGTACCACATGTTCACCTGTATGAAGGTAACTGCAGGTAAATCCTCCATTTTCTGTAGTAATTACATTGTATGCTTAATGGTTAACTTAAAGGTTAATGCTTAAAGCTAGTTGTTTTGTTTTGTGCGTTATAAATGTAGATATGTTGTATCTTCTGGTTGAAAGTTTAGTCTTCGTGTGTTATGATCAGTTGACACTAAACTGATTTTGTAGTGTTTATTAGGTTGTGTAATGTAAAGTGGAGCGCTAGGTCTGAAGCATCTTAGCTAGCGCGTCTGTATTGCGTGCCGCTAACTTAGCCGTACTTCTTGCTGTGCCTCTTAAATAGTTGTTGAATCAAGTGTTTACATACGACGGTAAATGTAATGTTTAAAAACCTATTAAAATACACCAAAATGCAGGAAATGGTATCTACTTTATTCAAAAAATAATGGGGGAAGACCCCCACCCCCAGTGTGCCCACCCACCACACACACACACACACACACACACACACACGCACGCACACACACACACACACACACACACACTTTACAAATGCTTCTGATGTCGATGACCACTGCATTGTTCAAGCAAAGAGCCATTGTCAGCACTGGGGGCTAATCGCCCCCAAAGGTCATGTTCTAGAATCGCCCCTGTTAATAGAAGTTCAGCCAATTTTAATTACTTTAAATGAGTTTCATTCGAACCCATCGTTCATGAGATCTTTTAAACGCGGGCACAAATAATCTAAAAAGTCTTTGTTACGTCTATATGATCGTGTGAGTCACAAACGCTTCATTTCAAAACTCCTACTTCCAAATGCGGCTTGAACGCAGCGCTTAGGAAACATTGAACGCAACTGAAGTGCTGCTAGTAGTACGATCAACTTCAGTGTTGGGTTGTGCAGTCCGACACCCGAAGCTCACCTGTCCTGCCTGCTCGGTGAAACATTCAGTCAACTTCACGATCACATTTTCATTTGCCTCCTCGTTAGAAGCCATGTCGATGCTGGCGACCCACTGGAACACAGAACACAGTTAGCTTGACGTCGTTAGCAAGCGGCTAACGGCAGCCGCCGCCACTCACCCATCCTTTGGATTTAAAGTGCTGGACGCACTTTGAGCCCAGAGCACCCCTTCCACCGTACACGATGACCCGGTTAGAAGCCATGTTTTCTCCGTGTGTGTAACGCCCAGCAGTGAGGGGCTGAGCCGCCGAGCAGCGGCTGAAATACACCGAGAGGAGGAGGAACAGGAGGAAGAGGAGGCGCGCGCCACTCCGTCAGGCAACAGGTTGGACTGCTGCGTTCAAAGACGCTCGGAAATACAACAACAGATATTTAAGGGAGGTACATTAAGAACAAATAGAATATCGAGGAAAAAGTGCTATATTTTTGTCATTCACGTCATAAAGTAAAACTCTTCTCACATGTAGTAAAATATGGCAAGTCTTTATTTCTAGTCATTTTGATGATTCTAGATAATGAAAACTCAAATCTCAATGTCTCAGAAAATTAGAATATTGTAATGAAGTTTCATATTGGAAACTCATGCACAATATGCGCAGACATGAGCTACAAATGTTGCATTTCTCAAATCAAGCTGCTCCTGAACCAGAGACAGCATAAGAAGCTTCTTACCTGGACTGTGGACTTCAGAAAACCCCTGCACCAGCAGAGAACATGGACCAAAACCATCACTGGCTGTGGAAACTTCACTCTGGACTTCAACAACGTGGATTCTGGACCTCTCCATGTTTCCTCCAGACTCCAGAAATGACATGAACATTTATTTTCATGTGAAAAGAGGACGTTGGACCACTGACAGACAGTCCAGTTCTTTGTGTCCTCAGCAGGTAAGACACTTCTGATGTTGTTTCTGGCTCAGGCTGGACTTGAGGATTAAGACATTTGTTGTTCATGTAGAGGAGTTCATCAGCTGATCAGGTGATCAGGGTGGGACACCAGGAGTTTGAACCTCTTCACAATATGAGGATGCTGATGGAGGAGTGGCAGTGAAGTATGTTAAAGTGGTGCATTATATGGTTGAGGACAGCAGGACATGTATGAGGACAGCAGGACAGTGGTGAGATGTGCTGTAGGAGTGACATATAGCTTCAAGGTGGAGGTGGGAGTGCATCAAGGATCAGCTCTGAGCCCCTTCTTGTTTGCTCTGGTGATGGACCGGCTAACAGATGAGGTCAGGCAGGAATCTCCGTGGACTATGATGTTCACAGATGACATCATGATCTGTGGTGAGAACAGAGAACAGGTGGAAGAGAAATTGGAGAGGTGGAGGTATGCACTTGAAAGAAGAATGAAAGTCAGCCGAAGTAAGACAGAGTCCATGTGTGTGAATGAGAGGGAGGAGGTGGAACAGTGAGGCTACAAGGAGCAGAGGTCACAAAGGTGCAGGACTTCAAGGACTCGGGGTCCACTGTCCAGGAACATGGGGAGTGTGGTAAAGAGGTGAAGAAGAGAGTCCAGGCAGGATGGAGTGATGGAGAAAAGTTTCAGGAGTGATTTGTGACAAAAAGGGTGTCAGCAAAGGTCAAAGGAAAAGTTTACAAGACAGTGGTGAGACCAGCTATGTTGTATGGTCTGGAGACAGAGACATGGACAAAAAGACAGGAGACAGAACTGGAAGTGTCAGAAATGAAGATGTTGAGGTTCTCCTTAGGAGAGACAAGGATGGAGAAGATCAGGAATGAGATCATCAGAGGTACAGCACAGGTTGAACAACTGGGAGATAAAGTTAGAGAGGACACACTGAGATGGTTTGGACATGTCCAGAGGAGGGACAGTGGTTTGGACATGTCCAG